ATGGACAAGATTCAATTTTTAGTGGCCTTGCTGAGGAGTTGCCCCTCCTTTTTAAAGTTAATTCTTTCTCCGGTGAAAGATTTGAGCATTTTAGCAGTAGGTCTATTCTGAGAGGGTAAGTCATGATGTAGAGGTGGGGAACCATTCATTGAACACCTGTGACACCTGCCTGCCAGCAGTCTCAGAGTGTTACCCATATTCGAAGCATGAAGCCACTGTTTGCAAAGCTGTTGTGGCACAGGGGTGCTCTAGTCATCATAGTGCAGGGATGGGAAGCCTTCAAACCATTGGGGCTGTGTAAGGTACCCGACAGAGGGGTAAAAAACTGATAGATTTCCCTGACTTCTGCTCCAACAGGCTCATGATGGTGGTGATGCAATCTCACACCAGCTGAGACAGCAGACGGGCTTCCATTTTTAAAGCAGGTGGAGTTCTTCGGTGGGGCAGTGACATTTTTTTAAAGCCATGGAAATTTGCACAACAGTTGGGCATCTGCTCTGTGATTTGCACATATGGGAGAGCGGAAGCCTGAATTCTGCAAACCTCCAAAAGAGGAGGTTTGTCAGAAAATTCAAGATGACCAAGGTGGACTGTGTGCACACACACTGAGAAGAAGACCATCCTCATGTTAAATGCCGAAAAGAAGTCAGCCCTGGTTTGCGCAGATTGTCATTTGTACAGATGGCGCTTAGAGACATACAGCTCTCACCTTTACATTCGCATAAATATTTTAAGCCTTTTTTGCAGAAGCCAAAACCCCCATTTGACTCAGCCGGTTCTTTGCTGTCTGGCTGGAAATGTGTGGAAGGGCCACTGAACTCAAATGGAACAAATCTTCTACCATGCTTTCCTCCATGTTATAGACCTGATTTCTTAGCAGCTGTACTCCAACCATATTATGTTGGAAATATAATAGAAATGTTATAATAACATAGAATAGAATAGAAATGTTATAGAAATGGCATAGAAATGTAATAATAATAATAATAATAATAATAATATTCTCTCACAATCATAGCAGAATTAACCACGTTTCTCTCCTACACCAGCTAAGCTGAAATATGCTTCCCACCACACACAAACACACACACACACACACACACACCCTTGAATGAACATTCAGTCAGCTCCCCAGTCCAGTTTCAGAAGGCCATACAACAGTTGTGTTCTGATGCTGTGGCCTTTCAGTTCAAATAGCTCATATTGTCAGCTGAATGTGCATCTTTTGTTCCGTGCGGCAGCGTGCTTTTGGCCCTTCTGAGCTTCAGTTGCTACTTCTAAAACCTGGCTTCTTGCCTCTGACCCTCCCGATCTTCTGTTGCTGGGCTAAGAACCGGCCCTTTACCTGCACTACTCATCTCTGGCCCCATCAGTTGTCTGAGGACATGAAAACTGCAGTGCTGGGTGTCTGATGCACAGCAGACCTTTACACATGGCATTTAATTGGTTGGTTCTGCAGCTCTCATGATTAGGCTGGGAGACATGATCCATAACCCAGTTAAGATGAACTACATTTCTGCGTAGTGCCGGGTCTCCTATGTATAGCTGCCTTTAGCAACAATCCAGAGATGTTTCAAAGTAAAGCAGCAAGATTAACTGGGACTGGATATTTTGCCAGCTGCGTGGGCTTCTCCCTGACCATTTCTGGGCCCAGATTAAAATGCTGAATCTAACTGATATAGCCTCAGAGTGCTTAGGAACAGAATACCAGGCAGTTTGGTTTGACCAATGAATACCTGTTTGAGCCGTGAGTCCTTCTTTGAATGCCTGGTCCTATGTACCCCTGCCAGGAGAATGAGTGGCTGCCAAGGGGATCTCTCCTAGCCATGCTGGCCCAGTACCCTCTCTGGGCTCTTTTCCACACCAGGTAAAGACTGCTTTTGTGACCCGTGCCTTTAAAGTTCTCCTTGAGCTCTCACTTTTGGTGCTCTTTAAATCTGAACTGCTAACTGTGCTGACTTCATTGGGAGGAATATTTCCAGACTTCACCTCTTGTTTGCCATTTTAAATTAAGCTATTAGTGTCTTTTTAACATATTATTTTGTTTGCCCTGACCTGTATGCTGCCCAGAGCGTGCTTAGCAATGGACAGCTGTATAAATCTATTTAAAAACAAAACAGAAAAGAAAAACCTGCCTGGTTTTATGCCATTTTACAGTATGAATCTAAACATGATGGTTGCGCAGATGTAAGCCCTACTATGACGTACCCCTGAGTTCCTGTATCGAAGTTTGTATGCTCATATGCATACTGGGCACAGAGCAAGTCCCATAAATCTCACTGAGTTCTTTGAGCAAATATGTGAAGAACAGTGTTGTTACCAGGAATGGATGAAACGGTCTATTCCCAATTCATGTAAGTTTTACATATATTCAAAGATATGCCCATTTCTTCCAACCTCCACATCTACCTGTAGTTTGTAGTACATGAAAATTTGCATTTATTCCTATGCAGCATATTACCTAACATGCATTTGGAATATAATTTTACCTAAGTGCATTTTTTACATATCTTTTTCAATCTGCAAGATACACAACAAAATTCAGAAAAGTGCATGGTCTTGAGGATAACTGTGTTTTGAGGCACATAATTAATCTGGGAGGTTTAAAGTGGTTCACTAAAAAATGTGGATCAAACTGGGTTTTCCATCACCACTAGTCATTAGTCTTGTTCGTGTACTTAACTAGGTTGTGGACCAGCCTTCAGAGAAAACAGGATCTTTCATGTATGGTGACACTTAAATGGGTTGAAGTTTGATTTTTTACGCATTTGACATGTTCCTCAACTCATTTAACAAGTTGTAGCTTTAAGGGTGTCTTAAATATCATTTTTCTATGCAATGAAACTAAAAATTATCCAGATCTGCAGGTTCCTAAAGAAGGACTCTCAGGAACCTTCTGTCTCCATGGTACGTACAGGTATCATTCAAGGTGTGCACTGAGACCCAGGTTGGTCTCAGACTCAGGCACTCTGAGAACAGAGTGCTTTGGCACAGACCTCTTGGAGGCTGTCCATTTTGACTCATGGACCAAGCCCACAACAAGATATGCAGAACAAGGACTGGATTTATTGCTGTTCAGGGAAAAACGGCTTTGAAATTTACTGCGTTAGAATGAGAAAGCAAACGACTGCTGGTAAGAATGATACTGCTCCTGCTCTTCCTCCACTAGTGCTACTACTACTGATACAACACGCACTGGATGAAATTAGTAACTAAAGGAGAACAGAACTGAAAGGGACTAGGAATCCAAATTTTATGTATCTAAATTTATAACTGAGAAAGGGGAATGTTAGATGGAGCTGCTGTATCTCATTACAAACATAAAAAACAGAAGAAATTTTAGGAGAAAAAGGAATGAATGGATATAAATGATAATTAATAAATGCTCAAGCAATGCAACAAGTTCTGCATCAAATGAAGAACAAAAGGAGAACGGAAGAATCCAGTAAATAACTTTTCCCAGATTCGTAAGGGAAAAGAACTAGTGTGTGGTGGACTGCCTACCAGCAAAAGAAGACATAGGGAAAAAAAGGGAAAAAGTATCATACCCACACGCAAAAGACTGCAGGAGCTAAATTAAAAAGAATTATTTAATTTCTTTATCCTAATTGAGGAAGGGTGGTGGGGAAGGATTTGCTAGCTAAGCCTACACAAAGGCATGTACAGATAGCAGCATAGAATGACTAAGAAGACAGGGGACCCCAAAGAATGATTTTGCAGAAAAAGTTATAGAAAGGAATTAAGTTAAAGCTAAAGCAGTTAAAGCAGGCAGAAAATAATGCTTTGACAAAATCATGAACAGACAAAACGTGAAGCCACCCACCCCACTCCCTACTACCGAATTGCTATAATGTACAGAAAGAGCACACAATGGATGGAAGTAGAAGAGCCATCAGCAATATCAACAACACTGTGAGCCATTCAGAGACGCAGAGTGATTGGATGGCCTAGAAATATCCCAAACAAACAAACAAACAAACAAACAAATAAATAAAATCCCATCTTTCCCCCAAAGCACAGTGATTGGAGTGCCTGTTAAATATACCCTTAAATAACAGGGTGCAAACTCTAGTTGTTCAACTGCAATCTCTCTCTTTCCCCCTCCTCCACTTGTAATCAGCGTTGCAGAGAAATAAAATCCAACGGTGCACTCTGGGGGAGACCAAAAGCTGTTTGTCTGCACAGCGTGAGCGGGTGATGAAACCTCCCTTGGGTTCTGCTTTGGTCCTAGTGGCTTCAGGGGTACCCAATCAGAATGAGCTTCAGAACCAGAATAAATTGGCCCATTCTGCTCAGGCATCATCAAAATCAAATGTATATTTCTGGTTACCATTGTTTCAAGATCTCTTCCACAAATGGGAAGCCAGAAAGCCATTGCTGAAGCACACTGAAAACTCAACAAGGAAAGAGAAGATGGCTAGCTGTGCTCCATTTCCTTTGTGGAAAAACCCTACCTGTTAGGGAACAGCCATGTGAAGGTGAATCTAATGTGTGGCCTCCCAGGCAGATGTGCTTTTCACTATCCCTGAATTTCCCTTGGCAGAGGTGCCTACATTTCTTGCATGGCTAAGCTGCTCCCCTGTTCTGATGCGAAAAGTCTTAATGCTGGAACTTGTGAATTATAGAACTTTGTTGTTATTCTGCTACATCTATGTTCATTGCAGAAAGCAGATCCAAAAACTAAATGAAGAGCATTTCCACTACATAATCCCTAGGTGGCACTCTGGTATAACAGAAAAATGCAATTGCACACACGGGAAAAGGTTTTCTTTCACTTTAAGAAATAAAGTGGCATTTTCCCTGCTCTAAACAAACTCACCAAAATCAAGTGTTAGACACAGCTGTCATTACATTGTCTAAAGGAGTAATAAAGAGCCATGAATAGGGGATGATGTAGAAAAGCTCATAGTCTTGGCACAGAAACTCATGGAATCCTATGAAACAATTTGGGAGAACTCACAAGATTGCTAGAAGAAAAAAGATACAGGATTTACACCCACCTGTCTTACAGAGGGATGATGGTCTCCTGCCTCATGGAAAATACCTCCTGAGGCTGGCTGCTTCTGCTGCCATTTCCTCCTCAGACCTCCACTTGCTGGGAGAATCCTCTGCCTCTTTGTCATGATGCTGAAGCTTGATAGAAAAAAGAAAATGTGAAGATGAAATATGACAATAGTGCTAATTAAACTATCAGGAAGCCAAGGCTTCTTAAAAGGATGGTTGCTTGAAGAAGAGGAGGTTCGGTAGACACTGATGAGAAAACTTAGAAGCAGTGGACGTTAGGACTGAAGAGGAACAGGTTTCCCATTAGCTTCAGAATGTCATTTACTCTTGAATGCCGAATTACCTGGAAGAATTGTAAAATGCTATTCCAGAGTTGGAGCTTCTAGGTACACACTCACATCACGCACTTTAAAAAAAATTAAACACCCCAAAATCCAATCAATCAAGCACACTGGTGCACTAGGAATGCTTCTTTTGCAGGAATCGGAGCACATGTGCAGCACAGTTTCATGTCAAGGAGGAAGAAGGATACTGAGAAACAGAAAGCAGATGCAAACCTTACAGCACTCCTGTTAATGGAGAGGGAGAGACTACCAAAAACAACACTGGAGAATTTGGGACATTTCTTGTTCCAGAAACATGGCCAGGTGTGAGAAGTAATTTGGATGAAGGAGCAGTTCACAAGCATCTTGAAGACTGCAGTATTCTATGTATTTACCCTAAAATAAATCCGAATACATTTAGTGGGGTTTACTTCTGAGTAACATGCATAAAATTGTGTTGTACTTGTGACATAACTCATGCCTCTTAAAGCAACTGGAAAGATCACAGCAAAAGCCATTTCCAAGGAGATCCCTTCTGTGTCACTGGGTCCTAACCTCATTCCAGGCTGTAGTTTACAGTTTAATAAAGCTTTTGCTTTAGGCCGAATGTGATCAACCTGTTACAACTGAAGCAGATACATGAAGACTTGGGAATAAAATAAATGCACTGGGGACAGGGACAGATTATAATTACTAAAAGAATTCTAGCAAACAATGTGGAGAAAAAAAGCAACAATGGGAAGAAAAATTATAGTACATTGAACCCAGAAGTAAACACTGATGTCTATGCATGCTTGCTGAAGGATCTCCCAGTGTTCAGTGAAGCCTCGTCTTTCAAAGTGAGTATACAATTTCAGCCTTAAATGCTAATTTTGCAATGCCTTTTTCACAAATGCAGTTTTCTTGTACTGGAGGAGACGACAGCCATTTGCCCATCCTTGCCTTACCTAGTACAGGTTAGTTAGACATTTTGCTGCTGGATTTACATGCAAGAGCAGCAGCTGCACGGGAGGAGATGCAGGGCCAGCCATGGACACACGCAGCTCTGTCTTCCCAGATGCTTCTGTTCCTCCTCATTCCAGCCTGCACTGCCTAAAGTGACTGCCACACTCGAATGCCATGGTCTGCCCTACACCCTTCAGATTTTGTTCATCCTGAAACTAACTGGCCAGAAAAAAATCAAGGCAGCTCACGAGGGAGATGGAGAGGAGAACTGGAATCTCCTGTGTTATGTCTGGTGTGTGCAGCATCTCATGTTCTGTGTGCACATCCCAAAAATAGGATGTAAGGATCCTCTTCCTGATTCAATGTCTTCTGGGAAAGGAGTGATCATTCCAGAGTATGGCAGGGAATCTGCATTGTATGGACTCTACCAGAAGAATGGTGAGGAGGTTACTAAAGTGCAATCCAAAGGCCAGGATATAATTTCTTGAAGTCATGCCCAACTGTTATGGTCTTCAGAGCACCAGAGATAACTGCCTGGAAGCTGCTTTCGCCAATCATTCTGTAGGTAAGGGCTGTAAGAACAAAACTGGTTGCTTTACTGAAGCAACATTATCCCTCCCTGTCTCCCAGCAAGGAGAGGAAGTTAGAATCTGTGTAACTAACACCTTCTGAACCAGAGAACAGAGAAGAACTTGATAAGATCCATGGCATGAGGGGTTGTATTTCGTTCTCAGGTTCCTAGGAGGAATTGATACATCATCCATCCAGGTAACTTTGGAAGCTCGCAAAGCATCTCCTGGTTTATTTAGGGAACCAATGAGGCCACAGAGAAGGGAAGTGTAAGCTCTCTTTTGCGCCTTTATATTCTGCATCTACATTCCATCACTGTATTCAATAACTTGTATATCATCGTTTACACAAGCAGTTTCATTTCTTCCAAAATGTCCTTGAATCTTAAGTCAGGTGGCTCGTCTGGATCAGGAGACTGGAATTAAACAGCAGACGAAGCAGTTGTGGGTCTAGTCGGTGTCTGAAAAGAGACTACTTGTGTTGCAGAGATAAAAGAAAATGTGTGCAGTAGGAGTCTACCAAACCCAGTGTGGTTTAGAGTGCTGGGCTGGGGACCTCAGAGATCTGGGTCCTAGTCCCTGCTTGGCCATGGAGCCAACTGGATGGCTGTGGGCCCAACCTACCAATTAAGGTTGTTGCTTTGAGGATAAAGTGGAGCTACGTAAGTGGCCTTGGGTTCCTCCCAAAGAAAACAAGTAAGATAGAAATGCAATGTAACGGCAACAATAACAACAACTTCAAACATATAGGTTAACTGCGTTTAGGTCTGGAGGGTTTGCACTGATTCTCCACTATTTAAGACTTCTAAGTACCAACTATGACCTGAATCTACCAAGAGAGGTGCAGTGACTTGCTCCTAAAGAAGCCCCTCATTAAGGAGTCCATCCAATTCCCTGGGTTCTGGTCCACTTTGCTGTGGCCCAAAGTGCAAGTTCCTGGTGAGGGCGCCCGGCATTGCCAGGAACGGATCCCCATGTGCTGCTTGAGCAGCATGCATTTCCTCATGAGACTGTCTGCAGGGGGCAGCAGAAGGCAGGGAAGCAGGTGGTTCCCGGAAAGGCTGCCTGAGTCCTCTGCTCACAAAGCCCCTTTTCCACATCCTGCAGCCATTCCTGATGAGGAAGGTTGCTGGCTGCACAAGTGGGAGTCTGTGAGTGTTCACGGATTTCCTCTCGGCTCGAGTTGCTTTGCAGGACTGGGCTGAGCACATGAGGAAGTCTGTGTATTCTAGAAGGACTGGTTGCAAAATGGTTCATCCCAACCCTAGATAAGACCATGATAACGCAAGACTCTTCTGAATCAGACCAAGGGGCCTATCTGCTCCAGCATTCTGGTCATCCAGCAACCAACCAGCTGCTTGTGGGAAGCCAACAAGAAGTAGGAGGTACATGCAGCAGTGCCCTTCCAGGACCATGAAGTCAAAAAGAAACTGGACAGCCACCCGAGAGGGATGATGTAACTTGGTGTCCTGCAACAGCAGGGGGTTGGGCTCGATGGCCTTCATGGCCACCTCCAACTCTAGTATTCTATAAATTGCATGGCCATGTAGTTACATCAGAGTTGATGATACCTAATACCTGCCTTGTTGTAGAACTGAGTAGACCAGGGATGGTGTCAGCAACTACAGCCAAGGTCCTCAGTAGAACCCACTGCTGATACCGGCCAGGGTCAGCCCTGGTGGTCCTGAGCGCCTCTCACCACTTTTATTTATTTATAATTTTCATGATGCCCTGGAACTCTCAACACAATTTTACTTGGGGCATTGTGGGGCATTTACAATGGCAGCGTGTAGCTCACCAACCTTGATAAGAGTTGGAACGGGCCCTGGTCTTCCCTGTGTTGAAGTCCCAGAACAAAGATACCTATCAAAGTGATGACTAACCCTAGAGCTGAGAGCTGACAATAACCATGCACTTCTTTGAAGTATGAGCGTCTGGCAGTAGGGGGCAGAGGGAGAGGAATAGAGAGAGGCCCTTCATGTGAATGAGTTATCCATCTATATTGTATTTCCTCAAAGGACTGCGGCATCAGCAACCACAATATCGGCATGCCATTCTGTGGCACTATCAGTTTTAATAAAATAACTTGAAAAACCTGGTTGTCAGCTTTGCTGGCAACTTCACACACGGAGACATGGATGAGGAAATGAATCCTTTTTCAGAAAGAGAAATATTCAAAGAGCCTCACTGTTTACAAGTGATCAAAAGTGACAGTTGGTGCTTATTGGTGGAAGAGCATTTTCTGCTCGAGGTGAAAGAGGAGGGTAATTTATCAGGAAACCCAAGAAGTCAGACATCGATAATGATCTGCTTGAAGAAGGGCGCATCTTAGAAAGAGTGCATTTATATTTGTACTGCACAGCAAGGAGCTGTAGACTGGTTTTAAATTTCTTTCTAGTGGCTCCTGCAGCTTGCTGAGCAGTGTGCCACGTCGCCTGCAACTCAGTTTTCCAGAACGCCCAGTTCTGCCTAGTACCTACTGCGAGCCAGTCTAAAATAGCGATGTGCATGAATTTAAGTTTTGCTTAACGTAACTGATCGGGCCAATTTGTTTCATCAGCATTGCCATTTATTTACAAATGCTATGATGGCATCAGGGCCCTTGGTTCATTTGCAGAAGCAGCTGTCTTGCAAGGAGGGCCCCCTGTGACACAACTCAAGAGCTGGAGGTTGTGCCTTTCCAAGGTGAGGTCCGGCACTTTCTCCACCGAGCCTGGCGTTCTTCAGGCCAAGAGAGCTTCTTCTCTTCCAGTGGGCTCCATCTCTCCTACGCATTTGCTCTTTCTCATGCGTCTGGTTGGCTGCCTGCCTATTTATCCATCTGTTCACTGTACAGAGAGTGGTGTAGTTGAGCCAGAGCTCTCCACGTCAAGTTGCTCAGACTTCTGGACTAGCAGGGCAGTTGTGCCTTCTGCTACCCCCCTCGAGCTTCCCTCGCCCCTGTGAGAGCGGCCGCCATCCTCACATTCAGGGAGTGGGCAGAGATTGCAGGCAGCTGGATATTATTGTGATACCATCCTTGTTGCAACACAAGGTCTTTGCGAGGGGCCTGGTCTCGAATGGGCAACTTGCCCATGAGGGTAAGACTCTCTCCGGGTGGAGAGGAAATGTGCTCGAATTGCTTTCATGATATGGGCCAACACAGCTGCCTGGTTTTTGGACAATCCTTGGGGGTAGAGCTGTGGGGGCTGCCATGAAGAGTGTCTGCACCTCAAAATGCTACCAAATTCCGGAGAGTAGTCTTAACCCAGCACCAAAAAGTACAAGGGTCTGAACCGGGTGGATCTCATCT